CTCAGGCAGGTGTGAAATATGGATGTAAGAGGGGAAGACCCCAGGAGCCTCACCCAGCATCTTCCTCCCAATGTCCTGGAACACCCTCCTCTTCCTCCTCTCGTCGTCTATTATCCGGCGCCGCTCCTCCACCTCAAGCTCCCTCCGGCGCAGGGCCTCCGCCTCCCTCTCCGCCCGGGACAGGAACTTGGGCTGGGGCGTGGGGCGGGGAGGGCAGGAGAATTCGAGAGAACAAAAACAGGAGGGAAAAAACATCCTGTAAAGCCTCGCAGTTCGCAAATTCGCGAGCGTATGGGGGACACGGGGGACAGGCTCCCAAGATCTGCTCAACACCCACCATCGGCCACATCAAGCGCAAATCCTTCCCTTGAATAGTACAAATACAACAGCATGGATTACAATTCAAATGATGAAGTTAAACACCCTGAATAGTAGAATACACTCTTATTAATTCTGCGATTTGATTCCTTAGATTTAAAAATAGCAAAAAAACACGAGAGCTGAACACGCGTGTGCAGGTGCACGCGAGAGACACGTTTCTCGACGCCCAGCGGGGTGGGGAGACGCAGGCGTGCGTGGGGGCAAGACTACAACAGAACCACAGGTTGTGGGGAAACCGGGAGGCTTTTATGTTCCCGCAGGCAGGACCATGCTTGGGAAGTCAGGCACATGAGCGTGTTCCTCCTCACCTTGGCTTCTGCCTCCTCCTCTGCTTTCTTCTTGGCCAGGAGCTCCTCTAGGGACAGCGGCTGAGCCTGGGGGGACAGAGAACCGGCCGTTGTCAGTGCAGACGGGCAGGGGAGTCACCCGTGGGCTCAAGGGTAGGGCGTCCCCTAGAGACCTGGAGGACATTCAGCCATAACCCCCCAGTCCCATACCAGGACATAAACTGTGTTGTCTCCTGCTCAGCAAGCGATTCCCACCTTTTCCTTCTTCTTCTTCTCCTCCTCTTCCTCCTCCTTCTTCAAGTCCTTGTCCCTCTTGAGCCGGTTGTCTCTGGACTTGGGAGACATGCTTCTGAAGAAGAGGAACGGGTTGAAAGAACGGGCCTGACACCAGCATTGATAAAGTCAGCCCACCGCCAAAGCACCAGGAGAATGATGGGATAGAGCCCACTGTGGCACACAGGGCTCTCCATGTGACCACGTGTTTCAAATCTATCTTATTACATTTTGCGTTGTTACATCCATGCAGCGAAAAGGCGGTGCTGTGTTATTATTCATATTTAATGTTGTTATCCAGAACGTCTCACACGTTAAGATCTGGAAAACAAGCGGATCAGTACTGAACATGAAAATGACACCCCAGGGAAGGAAGTGGCCTACCCCCAGTATACAGCAGCACCCATCCATATTTTAACCATTCTTCCGATTCAGGGTCGCGGGGGAGCCAGAGCCTGTCCCAGCAAGGAAAAAGGTGCAAGGCAGGCTACACCCTGGACAGGACGCCAGTCCATCACAGGACACACACACATACACACACTCGCACCAGGGCCAACTTTCCCAGAAGCCAATTAACCCACCAGCATGTCTTTGGACTGGGGGAGGAAACAGAGCACAGAGGAAACTCAAGGGAACCTGGGAAGAACATGCAAACTCCACATAGATAGCAAACCAGGTCCAGAATTGAACCCCGGACTTCACAGGGATTGTGAGAAACAAAAGTCCTATCCTGCCAAAAACCCTTGTGCGTGTGGGTGCTTAGATCCTGCCCGGGAGCAAACAGCAGTGATGACTCTCTTGACCCACACTACTGAAGACTAGAGAGGAAAGGCTCTAAGAGGCCTGTAAATGGAGAGCACTGTTATCCCCACTCCACGGCCACTTCAAGCCACTGCTCAGCAACTCCTGTGCTGGAGTACTGAAGCAACTATCGTTCCATAGCAGTCTGATCCATACTGGGTTTTACCCACTGCAGGGTTCTTGCATGCAAACCAAAAGCAGTGTTTCATATCCAAGACTTATCCAAGAGCAAACTGCACATTCAGATGTGTGAACAGCCTGTCCCCTCCGTCAGTCCAGTCTGCTGCTAGTAAACCCCCGGTACGGATCCGAGTGCTGTGCAACGGGAGCCCTCTCGGCGTCCCCGGCCTGCGCTCACCTGGATCTTCTGCGATCCTTGTCTCTTCGGTGGCCATCCTTGTCCCTGTCCTTCCTGCTCCGATCACGGTCCTTATCCCTCTCTCTGTCCTTGTCCCTCTCCTTGTCCTTTTGGCGGCGCTCTCTGCAGGGTGGGCAAAAACAAATCAACATGCAGCCATTCCCAGGCGGAGCGCTTCCGTGTCCCGTATCCAGCTTTACATTCAATTTCAAACTTTATTAGTATCCCCTGGGGGGGGGGGGGTGTTTCACAGCATGATCCAACATAACCATCACCAACAGAGAGGTCATGTGACTGTGGTGACTGAGGCAGAGCCGAGACAGGCACAGTACAGAGTCTGGGCAACACAAACACTGGGCAAGCAGCCCAGACAAAAACCAGGCGAGGCAAATCCAGGAGAGAAGCACAAATGCAAAGGCAACAAACACAGCAGAGGTGGAGTGAAAACTGAGGCTGAAGCATGCTCTTGGACTGAGCACTGAGGCCGGCAGAAATCCCGGATCCTGGGAACAGGAGGGAATGGGAATCAGTGAAGTGGCGCGGTAGAGAGTAGTCTGCTGCAACAGAAACATCGCAGCTCAGGGCGCTGGTGCCAGAGAACACAAGACACCTGCCGCCACACAGCGTGCAAAAACTGCATCTTCCAACAGCAGAATCTTACCGTGCACACAAATCACAAGGAACACAACTTCTCTAAACAATTCGTTGACATTATTCAGAAACTAAACTGCTGTGAGGATAAGCGCTTTCCTACACTTCACACTGTTACACCTGGGGGCACAGAGGGAAGACAGGGGGGAGGTCACACCCCCACACTGCTGCAAGTCTTCCTGAGAGCCCCCTGCTTGTAGAGCACGTTGAATTGCTCCTGAGCTTCACTATTTCCTCCAACCTGTTGCCATTTGTAGCTCAGATTTAACCATACGACAGATAAAGTAGTACGTTAAGGCACATTCAACAGAAGACCTGAATAAAAGATTTATTGAAATGCGCAGGCTGCAAAGGAACAAGTAATAGGTTTATCCCACGCTGAAAAGAGAAGAAAGAAAACACATTTCGGCCGTGGAGCCTTCATCAGGTGTCAGAAAAAGACTTTTCACCATGGTATAAACCTATTACTTGTTCCTGCTGGTTCCACCTGTTGTTCCTTTATTGAAATGTGTCGATACGGTTCTGTCCACCTTTAAAAAGCTCAGAGGCCTGAGGAAGAAAATCTGTTTCCATGTCCGAGAGAGAGTTACAGTGGGAATAGAAAGTCACCACCCCCTGTCAGAATTTGTACCTTTTCTGAAAATAAAAACAAATTAAATTAGGCTTGCTTCATTTTTATTTACACACAGTAACCCACATTAGCCAAGTGAAAAGAAAAGTCTAAAACCTTCTGAAAATGAATATCAGAACAGTAAAATACCCTATCTGGATAAGTGAACGTGCATTTGTGAACATGCTCAGGTAGAGCCAGTCCCCTTACAGATCACACCTGTGATCGACTGTGGCGATCCTGAGGAGTTCAGAATAAAAGCAGCCCGCCCACCTGTCCGCGGATTTGGAGCGGCTCCGGGATCTCTTCCGGTCCCGGGAGCGGTGGCGCTTGCGCTCCTTGGCCGGCGAGGCCTTGCGGTCCCGGTCGCGCTCCCGGGAGCGAGATCGGCTGCGTTTCTTCTCCCTGTCCTTCGGCCCCGAGGACTCTCCCTCCTTCTTGTCCGAGGAATCTCCGGCCATCTGTCAGCTGGGTCGGGCTGGGGGCAATGAACACACAGGTGCATCAGGCACTGCGGGCAGCTCAAGGGGTCCCCAACCAGCCCTCAGTGATGGTGGAGGGGACCCCGATCTGAGCCCCCATGGTGGAGAAGGGGTGGGACCCTAGAGGAGATCCTTTCAGGGATGGGCTGCTTCCACCCGTCAGGCCTGTAACTGGCCTCTGCTCTGCAGGCCAGTTAAATCAGAGATCCCAGTGTGTTTCCTACTGGCCGTCGGAAGTGGCTTTCAGGCAGGCTGGGCACAGTCAGAGTTGGGGGAAGAGGGGCGCCTCCAGCTCCCCTGAGTTCGGGATCAGAGGACTCACTCAGTGGGGGGAGCTGACTCCCCCCACCCCCATTAGCCAAAGGAGAACCCGGCCGCAGTCCAGAGCAGGGGAGTCGATCCGCTCCTGCAGAGCCCGCTGTCTTGTGCTGGACAGCAGTGGCCATCACAGGCGCTTAGCCACTGACGAGACACAGGGCTTATAGTGGAAGGGAGGGTGTTGCTGGATAAATCAATGTTGTTGCGGTCCACGACCGGGTGGTCCTCTGTGTTCATGCCTCACACTGAAACAGCCTGCGATTAAAGTCACAGAGCACCAGACGGCCCGCAGACATGTCTGGAGCAGAGGTGTCTAAACCCAGCCGGGACTCTCTGTTACACAGCTGACCTGATTGTTTAACTGCACTAGGCCAAGACCTGTAAGATCATTACAAACAAGAGGAGAGGCACCGCAGCCGCTCAGGAGGTCATTAATCTGAGTTTCCCATCCAGCAGTTTCTTGAAAGAAGCCAGGGTATCGGCTCCAACAGCATTCCCACCCCCACCACTATTTGTGTACAGCAATGCCTCCTGTTCTCGGTTTAAAATGCACTTCCACGTGATTTTCACGTAGCTCTAACCTGGAACTTGCATCTGAAGTTTTATTTATAAATAAATGTCCCTTTAATGAACTGTTCTCAGTTATTAGCTGTAAAAGCCCTCGTGTAACACCTGATTTTTGCCTGTGTAAGAAAACAATAAGTGTCGCTGCTCGAAAAGAAAAAGGAAATGGAGCACACACCGGGCCCTCCAGAAAGTCAGACTGATGCCGAGTCAAAGTTCGGGACTTACAGTAAAAAACTTTACGACACCGTGGATTTAAAAATTAAAAAGCAATAGTGTCAAAGCTCGATGGCGAGTTGTACAAACGCAGACCTGCATGTAAACATGAAACAACGACAGTCTTCGTTTAATTCTGAAGTAAAACACGGCGGATTCACTCAATTCTAATGCGAACACAGCACGTCTGCAAAACAAAATGGAAACACAACGAAACGGGGCTCTACGTCTAAACAGTATTTCTAAAAAATAAATTAGTATATTTTCCATGATTTGGGTTACAGGCTATTAATAGTAACCCAGTAGCCGGAGAAGTTGATAAAACAGATACCCTTACCTTCTCAAATATTCCAATCCTCTCTGATCACCGAACTCACTTCGTTTCTACCAAGCCGCCATGTTCTGCGAAAGCGGAAATGCGCCTGCTTCGAACAATGAATTCTGGGAGCTGTAGTGTTCTAGGCGAGAGTCCTACAGGAAGCTACGGAGTTATGGACAACAATTCCCAGAAGACTCTCTACATGTGTCGTCATCTTACAAGGACATTATTTAAGCCCTCTAATCATATGGGTATCGTACTGTAGTACACACGTATTATCAATATAATTACAAAGCCAGAACAGTGATAATTAAACCATTGTAATCAGGATCAAATCTATTTATCACGTTCAGCAGTACATTAATTACAGTCTACTGCAAGTAACCTCTAAGTGAATTAGAAGGCAATATACCGTATCTGCAGCTGTATTCCACACATCCATTTTCAATCCACTTCATCACTGTAGAGTTGCAGGGGAGCCGAGGCCCATCCAGCTGGCAGGCAACCGGTGCAAGGTACGACACCAGTCCACCACAGGGCACACACTGACACACACACACACTCACACCCACACCAGTCTTCCCAGAAGCCAATTAACCAGCATGTCTTTGGACTGTGGGAGAACATGCAGACTCAACATAGGTTCAGGAATTGAACCCAGGGCCCCAGCGCTGCAAGGCAGCAATGCAAACCGCTGTGCCTGCATGCCAGCCCAGATATGATCATAATAATTCTACACAGGAACAAATCAGGGTTTATTCCATGCTGAGAAGAAAAGAAACTCACATTCAAACTACTATGTTTTCAGTGGCCTTTAACTCCCACTCTAATTTTTTCAATAATAATAATAAACTTTATTTTATATAGCGCCTTTAAAGGTGGCTTCTCAAGGCGCTAAATTTATCACTCAATGTATCATGGAAAAATACACAGTTTTATCGTACTGTTCGTACTAAATTTCCCATCTGGGAGAATAAAAGAAGGCGGTGCCTTGAAAATGCCCTGGATCAAAAGGCACGGTATAAAAAAATTATAATTAAAAATAATTGAAAAAACGTTGGAAAAAAATATAATATTGAAGGTTGCAGGATTGGCCACAAGGTGGAGCTTTCGCCATTTAGTTGTTACTGCAGTCAGGTACTGGTAGCATTTCATTAAATATTATTTTGAACAGATAATAAATGAACACTTTTAGACTATTAAATAGAAGTGGTTAATTTATTAAACGTTTGTGTTACCAAAGGACTTACCAAGCCTGTATGAAAACATTATAGCGTTGAAGAGCCAGAAGTATAATAGGTTTTAGATGCAGCTAAGATAAGCAGATCTCCAGAGCCTGATGGTATTCATACTGTTGGACTCAAAGGAATGTTCTGCTCTGACGGGCCAAAAAAACTGACTATTTTTAGTCTTAGACAGAGAGACTATGAGGGGAACTGGGGTATTCAACACCCTTAAAGGCCCTGATAAAGTCAACTCTGCGGTCTTCTTGAGTATCAGTGAAACAGAAGGGTAAGGACACCAGTGACACCTAGACAGCAACTCAGAACGACAGGTGGTTCTTTACACAAAGAATGGAGGGTGTCTGGAACAACCTGCCTGGCCATGTGCTGGAAGTAAGTTCCCTGTGCTCCTTTGAGATGAGAGGAGATCCTCGGGTCAATTACCTACTAGCCAGAAAATGAACCAGATGGGTCTGAAACGCCTTCTGTCATTTGTAACCTTTCTTACGATGTTAGGTAGTTAGCAGAACTTTAATGCTGAATGTCACTCGTCTAAACCCAGTGCCTCAGGACTGGAACAGGGTAATATGAGCCGCCTCCTGTCTTTTTAATGGATGAAATCAGAAAATCTCATCAAGAAAAGGCAAAGACATAAAAATAAATTAAAAAAGGCCCATGGCCGTAAATGAGGTGTCTATCTTGAATACCAACAATGTATTAAGCAGGCTTTCCTCACCTCTGTGTGTCTGGATGCTATTCAGATGTGCTAATTGGGGAACAAGGGTTGGTATTAGCAGCAGTGCAGCTGAATGTAATGGAGTCGGCTCTGGGCAGGGAGGGTAGGGGCACAGGAGGCATGAGCTGAATGTTAATGTCATTCAGGAACGAGTAAGTCCGAGAAACATGGATCTGTAACACTACGCAGCTCTTTATTACGCAATTACTCCAGCATGGAAGAACTCCAGCATAGAAACCCTCATGCACAATCCTTCAGTGCACACACACACTGCTGTCATTCACATTCTGAAAACTGGACAAATATACTTCAAAGGTGGCTTGTGGTTTTATTGTCATTATTCACAGGGACTGTCCCGATCCCCCCTTAATTCTCAGAGGAGCAGAGACTCGGGGAGAGACTGGAGGAGAAGAGGAGAGACTGAAGGAGAAACAGTTTGGAGGAGAGGAGGAGAGACTGGAGGAGAGGAGGAGAGACCGAAGGAGAGACAGTTTGGAGGAGAGGAGGAGAGACTAAAGGTGAGGAGGAGAGACTGGAGGAGAGGAGGAGAGACTGGAGGAGAGACAGTTTGGAGGAGAGACTGGAGGAGAGACAGTTTGGAGGAGAAGAGGAGAGACAGTTTGGAGGAGAGGAGAAGAGACTGGAGGAGAGGAGGAGAGACTGTAGGTGAGGAAGAGAGACTGGAGGAGAGGAGGAGAGACTGGAGGAGAGACAGTTTGGAGGAGAAGAGGAGAGACAGAGAGGAGACTGGGCACAGGACAAAGGAAGGGACAGGGGTACACATAAAAAACACCCAACTACCACTATAACAGACACAGAAAAAAGACACTCCTTCCACACCCCAGCACATGACCCAGCAGGTAGTATTTGCTCCCCTTTGGGACAGACAGACGAAACTGTCTCCCTCTCTCCCTCCTGTCCCCAGATAACACAGGTCTGCACTTCCATCGACCCCCCACAAACAGCTAGGTATGAAACAAATGGTAGACGCAAGGCCCGTGGTAATTAGATAAACAGGTCACCTCCCAGTTTCCAATTAAATCAGCCCCCCCATCTACTCCTTCCTGATCCCTAGCACCTTTAACAAGGAATCTTAATTAGAACTAATAGCTTCTCTGCAGCATGCTTCTCGCGCTTGCAGCTCTCAGGAGATAGTCCACCCCCCTGGTTCTGTCTATGGGCTCCTCAGGGGCTTGGGCACGTCTCCTGAGTACATGTTAAAGACTGCTGTTCTCATTTAGAGTCTGCGTCCTAAAGAAATCCTTCAATCCTACCAGCTGGGGTATCTCAATCCACACTGAAAAAACTCCAATATGTTCAGAACTCAGCGGCCAGAATCCTGACCAGGTGGCTTGCAAGTGATCACATTACTCCTGTCCTGGAACCCTTGCACTGGCTTCCTGTCAGCTTTCTAGTTGACTTCAAAATCCTCATGCTCACCTATAAGGCTCTACATGGCTTGGCACCTCAGTACCTGTCTGATTTATTATCTGTCTCTTCCTCCACCTAACAACCTTCATTCATCTGTCTATCTGTCTGGTCTCCTGTCTGACCTCCAAGGTCGTGTACACTCGATGGGTGACGTGCCAGGGCCTTCTTTTACCGGCTGCTGAGTTATAGCACAGATAAGGCAGAAACAGCTGAAAAAAAAACCTGTTTCTGTCTGTGTAAAAGACTCAGTTAACCATTTCAAAGCACCAGATTATGGGCTCCTATTCCAGATTTGTATAAGGAAGGTTGTGGGTTCAAATCCCAGGTGAGCATGCTGCTGTTGTACCCGTGACCAAAGTACATCACCAAAATCATTCCAGTAATATATCCAGCTCTGTAAATTGGTGAAAATGTAGGCTGATTTAGCTAAAAGCTTCAGTGAAATGAGTAGTACTGTAGGGTGGCATGGTGGCACAGTGGTCCGCATTGTTGCCTCACGCTGAGGCCCTGAGTTTAATTTCCGGACTTGGGGTGCTGTCTGCGTGGAGTTTATAAGTTTTCGTTGTGTTTGTGCAGGATTCCTTCCACAGTCCAAACACACGCTGGCGGGTTAATTGGCTTCTGGGAAAACAGGCCCTGGTGTGAGTGTGTGTGTCTGTGTCTGTGTGTGCCCTGTCATTGACTGGTGTACCCTGCCTTGTGCCCATTGCTTGCTGGGAGAACTGGAAGAAGCAGATTGATGGAGTAGTGCTGCTTGGGCAACCTCCGTGCATCAGTAAAATCATATTGTCTGTTTTCAGGACGTGGGGAGGCTCTCTCTTGGCTCACAGTGGTGCAGGATCCTGGGACATCTGCTGTGTCCTTAAGGCACCCCAGAGCCATCTGGTCCCCCACAGTCCCCTCCTGCTCTGTGTCTGTCTGTTTCTGGCCATGGGGCTGAGGCAGCCCCGAATCGCTGCTCTGAGCAACAGGGATGACGACACACACACACACACACACACACACACCACCTGTCTGTCGATTCACGCTGCACAGGAATCAGAAAATAAAAAGCATGCCGTTAAAAAAACCTTGGCTTCTTTTGTGCATTTACAGTGAGAATGGCCCATTAATTAAAAATGAAAAAGCTGGGATACTGATGAAGATGCTGCCCCTCACTAAGGGGCACTAAAGGGGGGGGGGGGTTGTTTTTTTCCATTTTAATTACGCTGAGTGTTTGCACAGGCATGTTTCTCATTAGCGGTCCCGCTTGCAAGGGGAGACCCTGTGCCTTCGCCATCTCTGTGGCCCGATTCTGCACTCAGTCTTCCAGAAGTGCATCGGTCCTGGGGCACCGGCCCCCCCCATCCTCCTCCCTGCTGCCCCTCCGGTCCAACCCCCCCTCCTCACCCCTGCCTCCCCGTCCCTGTCCCCTCTCCTGGGGTTTAACCCTTTGTGAGCCGGCGCCCTGTGTCCAGACGGGGGTGGAGATACAGTCCGTATCTCTGTTTCTGTGCCCACGCCAATAATGTGAAATCAACTTGTAACCAGCTCTCACCCCATGCTGACTTTAATCCACATCCCGCCCTATCGAGATCCGAGCCATCTGACTGAGCCTTGACCTTTCATTTTGTAATTCCTGAATGTACGCATATTGTCCTCATCTCTGGCTACAAGCAATCACTGACCAAAATATTAAGATCCCCCACCAATATTGCCAATATTGTGTGTGGCCGCTATGAGCAGCA